CCCATTCGCTGTGGTCTGCTCTTTTCTCCAGGTGTGTGCAGTCTGATGCTGTCCTCTTTCCTTTTGCTCTCTCAGGATTAGTTGCGCCAATTAAATTTTCTAATTATATCCAGTTTTAAGAGGAAGCCTCTGTCTCTCCTCTCATGCCGCCATCTTTAATCCTCTGTCCATGCATTATGTTTCAACTGAAAAACTTCTTTAGGAAAATGTCTCAGAGTTTTATATCTGAAAATATTGTTGTCTTCATATATTATTCTTAGTTTTGGGAGAGTTTTAGGCTTATTAATTTATATATATAAACCTTTCTCTCATAATTCTATATACACTGCGTTATTCATTGTTGCAGATGAGAATTCTGGTGCTAAATTAGAAATGAGTCAGTCTAATGGTTTTATTTTATAGATTTTATTTTATAAAAGCTGAGAGTTCATAGGTTCTATTTTTATCTTTGGATTTGAGAAATGTCAACAATTAATATTTTCAAGAATCTTGCCTAGTAGTTGGTAGCCCTTTCAAATGGAAGACTTAGATCCATTGAAATATTCTTCTATACTTTCTTTGATTTTGTTTCTCCAGTGGTTATGTTTTCTTCTATTTCACTGTTTTGGTTTTCAGCTCTGTTCAAACTATTGTAACCTTTTTCTGCAATCATATGGACTTCAGTAAAAAATTTTAATTTTGTAAGAGAAGATCTCAGATTCAGAGTAACAATGGCTTGAAAAGATGAAAAAGAAGGTTTGTGAGAGGAGGATGGAAAACATTAGGATTTAGGGTGGGTTTATACTTGGTTTTAGGCACATTCCTGGCTTCAGCATTTGTGAACTCTGACACTTGCAATTGCACAGCCTCCTATATAAGGAGGGAAAAACATTATAGTCTTTATAGTACTGTTATAAGTATTAGGTTATCACAGTTTATTGAAAAAAAAAATCAAGTACTTTGCTGACATAATTTTATTTATTATTTAAAACAGCCCAAGAAGTGGGCTTATTATCATGATTTTAGATTGTGCAGATGAAGTGTTGAGGCTCCTAGGCCCAACATTCCCTAGTTAATTAGAATTAAAGCAGGGATTTAAATAAAAATTAATCTGAGACCATCCCTCTCAGCCCACTTGGAATATTTAAATAGTTTAAATGATTATTCAATTGAATTTAAGGCAAATGTGCCACTACAGGTATACCTTGTTTTATGGCACTTCACTTTATTGTGCTTTGCAGATAATTGTGTTTTTACAAGTTGAACGTTTATGGCAACTCTCATCGAACAAGCCGGTTGGTGCCATTTTCCCAGCAGCATTTGTTCACTTCATGTCTCTGTGTCACATTTTGGAAATTCTTGCACTGTTTCAAACTGTTTCATATTTGTTATGGTGACTGTGATCAGTGAGTATGACTCATGGAAAACTCAGATGATGGTTAGCATTTTTTAGCAAAAAAGTATTTTTTAATTAAGGTACGAACATTAGATTTTTAGATACAATCCAATTGCACACTTAGTAGACTACAGTATAGTGTAAGCATAACTTTTGTACATACTGGGGAGCTAAAAAATTCATTTGACTCACTTTATTGCAATATTTACTTTATTGTGGTGGTCTAGAACCGAACCCATAATATCTCCGTGGTGTGTCTGTACTTGAATGGATCTATATGTGATCTTAGTGATGCCATTGTCCTTCAGAAATCATCTATTCATTCTACACTCTTGCTTAAAATGTAGTCTGAACTCAGTTATCTTCATAGTAAAATCTCGATCCACAAATAAGAACAAACAAGACCTAACTTAAAGGTGAAAAAGCTGGAATTCATTTATCAGCCTCAGTGGTTCTGTGAACTTCCTGGAATTAAATGCAAATATGACATATATGCTTTTCTCTGGAATTCTATTGCTTTTATAAAGGCATGGGTGACCCAAACTGGTTAAAAATCACAAGTCTGTATCTGTTCTCTCTAAAACTCTAGTCCTATGACAAATATATCACTAGATAAGGAAAACCAATGTAGTTTCATATTCAAAAATGATTATTTAATGAATCCATATTTCTTGGAAGAAATTCAGTCAAAAATTAAGTCAACAGTGCTCATCTAAAATGAGTACCATTTCAAATAATCTTGGCCTTATGAGGTTACTAGGTGAGGCTGGAACTTTCTCCAGCTATATATAAATGGAGTTATTTTAGCTTAAATCAGACTTTAGAGCTGATTATCAGTTACCTATACACTGAAAGCTAGAAGATAAGAAGGCTTCTGAACATGTAGTGACCTTCTCACCAAGGCAAACCAGAGTAGGTCCCCTATGATGGGTTTTAGGTATTGGAATCTGGGAACTGCTCACTCACTCAGTGAGGGTTGGAATTTAATCTCATAAGTATAGCTATAGACCTGAGATTTCACGGTCTTGTATAAATCTAGGCACAGGCCTGGGTCAGAGCTATAGAGGTTTGTATCATCTTGAGGGACTCACTTTCAAAAAGCAAGACTGCAAATAAAAGAAAAAGTGAAAAATGAACAGAGCAAAGAAAGCAGAACCACACCCCTGAGTCCTGGTGAATTAGCTTTATTGAATTTACATATTTGGAGGAGTCAAATTCTACTGAAACTCGAGGAGCCCCTGTAAGCTCTGTCCTCTATGACAGAGGCTAGACATTCACACCCCAGAATAGGTTCCTGATAAACTGGTAACAGAACAGTTACGATTTCTGTGCTGAAGGATATCAGCTCTTTGTAAAGTGTGAAGAATCGTGAAGAGCTGGAGGATATACTGGAAGATAACCATTTCTTTTTCTTTTTTTTTAAATTCAAGTGTTGTTAATATACAATCTTATGCTGATTTCAAATGTGCATCATGGTGGAAGGTAACATTTCTTAACGTGCAGGATCCTCAGCTACAGAATGTTTTTGACACTGTATAAGTGAATGATGGGAAGAATTGCCAAGAAGGAATTTACTCTAAAAGTTTGGATGTTGAGATGTCTTCTCCCTAAGCTAGAGGAGAAATCAGAGAATCCACACAGGAAAGAGAATCATAGGGGATAGGGATTGAGACTCTGTCCTCACCAGAGGATCCACACAAGAGAGAAACTATACATGTGTGACTTCTGTCAGAAAAAATTCATTCATAAGTCTACCTTGCATGGTCATAAGAGGATCCATGTGAAAATAGAAAACATATCGTTATAAAAATTGTGGAAAATGCTTCAAATGCAACGAAAAACTCAATGTACACCAAGGAATCCACTTATGAACCAAACCGTATCAGTGTCTACAGCAGTGCTGTGAAATAGAAATATAATGTGAGCCACAAATGGAGCCACATGTGTCATTCAAAATTTTCTAGTAATCATATTAAAAAATTGAAAGAAACAAGTGATGTAAATTTTAACAATGTATTTTATGTAACCCCATATATCAAAATATTATTTTAATAGGTAATCAATATAAAAAATTATGCATATTTGTATTCTTTTTTGTGTTTGAAGTCTTTTAAATCCAGCCTGTTATTTTGTACTCAGAGCACATCTTAGTTTGGATTAACCATGTTACAATTGCTCAGTAGCCACCTGGGGCTATTGGTTGCTGTGTTGGACAGTGTGGCCAAACCTTTTATCACTTAGAAAAATTTACATGCCATAAAAGGTGCTCAAATGATATAAATTTATTAAGCTCAAGTCTTGTCCTAATCCCAAAATAAAGTTAATAGTGATTTGTAATCTATTATATTCTGCATAGTAAATGCCAGAATACATGTTAAATACTTAGGATTGAATACTTAGCTTGGAATAGTTGCTCTATAAATAGTAACAACTCTGATTTAAAAAATAATTACTCTCTCTTTTATTTAACAACTAATCTTTTTTTATTTCTTAGATTTCTTTTTTATCCCCAGGGAGAACCTTATTTAAAAAGGGCAGGCTAATTTGTGACAACATGGTTGTGCGAAGTGAAATAACCCAGACAGAAAAAGACAAATACTGGATCATATCACTTATATGTGGAATCTTAAAAAATAAAAAACAAAACCAAAAAATGTCAAACTCGTAGAAACAGGGAATAGAACGGTACTTGCCAGGGACAGTGTGGGAGGAATGGGGAGAAGTTGGTTAAAGTATACAAACTTCCAGTTTTAATATGAATAAGTTCTGAGGTTCTAATGTACCTACAGCATGGTGACTGTAGTTAACAATTGTATATTTGAAATTTGCTAATTTGCTAGGAGAGTAGATCTTTAGTATTCTCACTAAAACAACTACAACAAAACTGTGTGAGGTGATGGATGTACTAGTTAGCTTGACTATGGCAATCATTTTATAATGCATGCATATATCTTATTGTGCACTTTGTACACATACAGTTGATATACACAAATACATCACAACTGTATTTTTCAATTGTCTCAGTAGAGCTTGAAAAAAAATCCCATTTCACATCTTAAAAAAGTTAATAAAAGGACAAAAAAGTGTAGGTTATTTTTTTTGATGTATTATCCCTCTACCTCTAATAGAGAACAAGGAAAAAATTTAAGGTTCTATTCCCCACTTTGTTTTAATGGGGCTTATTGCTTTGATTGGTCCCCTGGCCCGCTTGTTTGAGTGACTGATCCATTTCATGTCTGGTTATTATTCATGGTCTGTTAATGTTTATAAATGAAGGACTTAAATCTTCAGTATGGGTAACTGATGTGGTTACTGCCTGCAATTATGTGGGCTAATGATTGTTTTTTATTGATTGATTTTCCCTCAAGTGTGTGTAGGGAGGTGATTGATAAATTGGTTTGATTCTTTGGCTCCACTTCTCCAACTTTAAATGTGTTGGATGGGAGCTGTCCTCTTGCAGGCCTCTTCTTGGCCGTGTTGTAGAATGAGTTGGGTATGTGTAGGTGCTTACTGTTCAGTGAGGGTGGCTAGAGTTCAATTATTCAAAAATCATAGGATTAAGTACCTGACTAGAATATTCACTTCATATCTATAACATTTAACATGTTGTTATATTTCTTTACAGGAATACACACGGCTTGATAAAAACCATTATGAAATTATTACAAATGCAAGCTCTTAAGGAAGGACAAGGTGGGGAGAAGAATATTCAGAATATATATACTATTAGGTATGCTTTTTTCCTTTCTTTAAACAATTTTTTTGTGTGTGTGAATAGGTAAGTAAGTTATGAACTGAGACATGCTAACCCATAGGAATTAGTTATTTAATTCAATGGTGATTATGGATTTTGACCTCTTAGGAAGTTCATGTTTCAAAGACTCAGAGGATTGAGTTGGAGTTGACAGTGTGCTGAGTATCACCAGTGTGGGTTTCAGGGTCATTTCCTTAGAATCCAAATCTATTATCTAAAACTCAGGTCATTATTCCTTTTACTCTGAGACTTTTAACTATCTTCTCAATACTGTAAAAACTGAAAAGTTCATTGAGCAAATGTACATAAAGCAGGAGGTCTTTAGGTTAGGTAGGAGGGTTAACTTCCTCACTATAAAATGTAAGGAGACTATCCAGTAGTTACTACCCAAGGCAATTTAGGAGCATTGATTTGCCTTTTCTTTGTTATTTATGAATGTAACATGATAGAATTATTTTAAAAAGGAAATAGAGCAACCATTTAGTGAAATGCATTGGATTTTATGGGGGAATTTGGATAAGAGAGGGCATCATATTTACTTGTAAAAATGATCTTAACCACTGCCTTGAAGGTCCCAGAAAGCCATTTCTTAAGAGAGTGATTTCCACTTAGCGAGCAGAGGACCCCAGAAGATGACATGTAATCAGTATATATTGTCCTAGGAACTCTGTTTAGTGATGCATCCAGAATGTGTCTGTTTCAAAAGAATGAGAACATGGGACCATAAACAAGGACTCTGGTTCTGGCGGAAAATGGCTTATGTGGGCTATGGCCATACAACAGGGAAAGTAAATTAGATACTTGCGAACCATCATTGGCTCGAGCATACAGCCTCTGCAGTTCTGAGCATTGGATGTCACAGCTATCGGAAGCTGTGAGAGTCTCTCCAGAATACCAAGTGGGGCCTATTAGGCATATTTATTGTACTTCCCTTTTGATAATAAGTAAACATTGTCTCATGTATTACAATGATGTTTCCTGAAATTTTAGTGCTATTTATGATCTCTGTTTTTATGAATGTTATCAAGAATTTCTTAAGCCAATTTTTTTAAACAAGGTTAGATTTGCATTTTATATATATGTATTTTAACATGTTTTTTGAATGTCAAACATAAAAGTTGGAAGACTATAGTACAATGAATTAGTTAATTCATTAACTTATTAGTTAACTCATTAGTTAATTTATTTTTAAATTAGGGAAGCGACAGGAAAATTATTTATTTGAAAATACTGTGGCAAATTGGAGGGTGCAGAGTAAACTTTTCCAAATTGATAAATGTGCTTTTCTTTTTTTTAACACTGTGGTATCCTTTGAGATACAAGTTTTTTGTTGCAGGTTTCTCCTTCATCCATTACCTTAACCACACCTGAACCTAAGGAGCAGAGCAGATTCTTCATATTTCTAGATGAGTCATACAAATATCCACGTTTTCTCTTTTTAAAAAGAAGTTCAAGTTTTGGGCCAGAGGTCTAGAATAGAAAATAATTCCATTTCATTGTTATTCAGTAGGACTTAGTTGTTTCAAAATGGGAAAGCTCCTGAAGTTTTTAGTTCTTGTGTAATAGTTTTATTGTGCTACAATTCACATACCATAGGACTGACCCATTTTAAGTATACAATTCAGTGGTGTCTAGTAGATTGACAGAATTATGCAACCATTGTCGTGATTGATTTTAGGACATTTTCATCATCATCCCCAAATTCCCCACCCATTAGAAGTTGCTCCATATTTCCTCCAGCCAGTGAGGTATTTTTAATTCAGTGGTTCTCTTTAGGACCAACTGGGTGTGCTTAAAAACAAAAACATAGGAACAGATACCCCAGACCAACTGAATCAGAATCTCTGCCATGAGGCCTTCACGTGTGTATTTTTAAAAGTTCCCAGGTGATTCTGATATACAGTGAGTGCGCGATGGTGTGTCCACTGCTCTCTAATGAGCATTCTGATCACCTGGGACTTTGCAGCTGAACACATTCTCTTTCCTTCAGTGAAGGGTGGGCTCAAGATTCTTGTCAGACAAGTGCCCAGGTGATGGTCCTGCGGCTGCTCCTCCACTGCAGTAAGTAGTGGAGCTGGGAGCGCATCAGCATTCCTGGGAGCTGGTTGGGAACACAGGATCTTGGACTCCATCCCAGACCACCCGAATCAGAGCATGCATTCTGCTGAGTTTTTCTGGGTAATTTCTAGGTACTTAAAGTTTAAGAATCCCCATTTTAGGTGATGGTAAAAGGGAAGTCCTTTATCATGCAGAATTATTAGAGTTGCTCTCATTTTCATACTGATTGTCCTCACTGTGCTGAGTGCTAGACCTTCATCTGTAATGCCTCACCTGTTTACAATTTACAATTCGTTTTTCTCCTATTGTTGGTCCTTGTAACTGCAGTCTTGTTTTCAAAGGACAAGAGGCGTAAGGGATGGATAGAGACTCTACTTTGAGGAACTGAAATCTATTGGATAAGTAAAGTTTGTCTTCAGAGTGGTGGCACATTAAGAGGCCCAGATTCAGTCACCTGAGCTGGCATCCTCCCGTAATGTTTGTGGAGAGCCCTTATGTGAACGGCTGTTTGGCACTGTAAATAATCAGTGGAGTGTAATCGAGTGTATAAGAGCCTTAAGTTTCTCCGGGTAGGGGTGGGGACTGTGGATGGCAGAAACAGAGGAAAGTTCACCTGAAGAGCAGATTCCCCTCAAGAGAGCTATGATTACCTGAGTCAAGCATAAAATTGTCATGCTGCTTTAGAGCCTTCTTTGCCATATGTTGGCAGCAGTATCATCCAGCATTGCAGAGGCATCTGATGAGCTATGTGTGTAAAAGTATAAAAAGAATATGAGAAGCTTAGAACTCCACTGAGAGGTGTTCCTTGGGTATGCTGTAGGATTAATTTAAAGTGAAAGTAATATAACAGATAACTGTAAGCTTTCTGGGCATGAAACTCATCTGTGTTTTCATGGTATTAAAGACTCACTAGTATATAGTTGGAGTTCAAGTATTTTTCACTTCTCTTAATCCTAATAGCTGACTAATTTGAATTACAGTAAAATAGGATATGTGGGCACTTTAAATGGGCTGTACTGAATTGTGTAAGTTGTGCCAGTATAGGAGGTACAAGAGAGGGAGATGTGAGGACCTGGAATGTTACCCAGTGGCTTCCCTTGGTTCCTGTGAATTTACTGAAGGAGCTTTAGAGAGAATATTCTCTTTGTTGAACCTACAGGTCAGTGGTTCTCAAACTTCCCAGGCATAAGAACCACCTGGGGAGCTTGTTAAAAGTACAGTTTCTCAAGCCCACTTCCCAGAGCTTCTCATTAATTTAGTGAATTTTGCATGAGACTCAGGAATCAGCATGTTCATTCAGCTGCTCAGTGATATGGGTATAGGTCATTTGTGGATCACACTTGAGAAATATATTGCTTGAGCCTCTGGGAACTCACTGATATCACATATGAGTTGTAAGGAACCCCTTGGAGGTAGACTGGGAGGATACTGAGTGGCTTAATCGTGTCTCCTTGTCTCTGCTTCCTATTTGGGGGACAAAAGTCCTGCTTGCTACTAAGCATCACAGCACCACATTTATTTGCCACATCCATGGACAGTAAAGAAGCCAAAAGCAGAACCAAAGAGCAATTTCTAAAGGAAAAGCAATCCCATGAAAGTCAGCCAAGTGGAGATGTAAGAGAATATAAGGGACTTAAAATACCTTATTGCTCTGTTCAGTGACATATTCTGTGGCCCCAACAGTTTAGTGTTCTTCATGGTCAGATAGTAGGTAGATGCTTATAGCAGCCTGAGAAGAAGAAAGCCCTCCTCATCCTCTTAGAAACCCACAATGGTTTTCAGTGTTTCCAGAGCATAAGGAGCTCACTCTCAGAGTTCCTGCTAAGTATGTCTGGAACATAGCTGGAAACCTGCATTGTACAAGAGAGTGGGATGCACAGGATGTCTACTGAGTGTATCTAATAAAGATCATATTTTTTAACTAGACCCATTAGTTTTGTGCTTAAACAAGATTAAATGGAAATATTTAAATGCAGTTTCAACTCCCAGTGCCTTTTAGGATGGAATAGCTGGAAGAACAATGAAGTACGTTTGACTACTGTGATTAAATATAGAGCCTATGACAAGGGGAAAACTCTTGGTCCATGTGTATCAACTCTGGTTATACAGTAGAGCCCTCTAATGAACTTTTAAATATATAAATGCCTGGGTTCTCTACCTAGGTTGACTGCAGGGTCAGCTGCAGGCACTGGTATCTTTTCAAAGCTTCCTAGGTGGTTTCCAATGTGCTGGTAGGATTGAGAGCTGCTGGCCAGTGTTGCAGGAGGCCGTGGGGTTCGTTGTTGCCAGACCTGCAGATCTTTCAATAATGTTTTGCATGAAATCTCCTGACTACTCAATATTGGAAAACAACACAGATTTTCAAAAATACAGGGTAGGCAGACATAATACATCTACTCACAGGATATAATCCAAAGGCAACAAGCTTGTGACCTCTGGTTTAGGCATCTGTTTTCAAAAACTTTAGAAGCCCTTTTTCACCTGTGAACAATTTTTATACTCATTACACCCTCCCCCGAGTCCCCCACCACTTGTAATATATCCTTTAGTTCAGGCTCAATTTTCCACTCCACCTTTGGTCTGGATTTTCTTTTGGTTAGCGTTAACTCCACTTTTCTGGAACACACTTAATTTAAGTTACTTAAACATTCTCTAATATTGGCCATATAGGAAATGTGGTAAAGAACTGATATTTGGCTGATATTTTGGTTACAAGGAAGACTAAGTAAGCTAAATTTTCATGATTCATAAATTATCAGAGGCTCATTTTCTCAGCTGCTTTGTAACATGCCATTTTCCCTCTGAAATTTTATTTTGTGCTTTTTTGCTCTTAATTTTTCCTCTGCATATTCATATTATGGCAATCTTTTAAAGATCTCTCTTCCTTCAGCTGAAGTGAGGAAATAGCTGTGAATTCA